TTTTTTTTTCCTGGAAAATAAATGAAAAATATATTAAAAGGTTTGAGCTGTGAACCTCTTTTGTTGTCAGATTCTTAAAATTTTCTAGAAATCTTCATAGTAGGGATGGTAGCCCAAAGATCTGGCAAAGGTCAAGGCCTTTCAAGAGAGACAGAGTCCAGCTCTGGCTTTGAACTATAGATGGGTCACTCAGTCATTCTCCATTTCCTATCTAAAAAAATAAGAAAAGGAATAACGTCCCTTATGTCATAGTCGCTGAACAGATGAAATTAAAGCTTAGCAGTCACCGAACAGTTGCTACCTGGTTCACAGATATTATGGCCGCAATCCTTTCCCGTTCTCTTCTTTCTGTGAACAGGGATTGGGGATGGGCGGGGAAATTTAGGGCTCTTCTTCCCCCAGTGTCCTAACTCTGCTCTCCCGTACCGCGCTGCACCTGCAGCGGCGCGTATCACAGCAGCGACCCGGGCCCCACTTGGCCCCGGTGACCGCCCTCAGGGGTCTCTAAGTGCGCGTTTGGCCTGAGGAGGGCCGAGGGGAAGAGGTGATGACTGAGGAGGAGGAAGGGCCGGTTAGCTAAGACGGGGCGGCAGGTCCTCAACCCAAGTAGCCTCCACCTTCAAGGGTGGCGAAAGTCGGGGTGCGGAGGGGAAGGAGCCGGCGTCCGGGAGTTCAGAGCCCGCGCATGTCACTTAACATCTGAGTCTAAAAATCTCGATTCCTCCCTTTCTTGACAGAGTTGTCGGAACGACTAAATGACCTCAAACCACTGGCCAGGGTGCAGCGAGCGCGGGCTCCGGTTACCCCGTCACCCCGAAGGCGCAGGGTGGGGCGGGGCAGTGCCGGGGAGGACGCGCTGCTCCCTCCTGGCCTTGAGTTTCTGCACCGGGGAAACCGCTGCTTTGCTCACTGCTGCCCCATCTGCAAAGAAAGGGACCTGGCGACGGCCCTCGGGCTGCGGCGTTAGTGCCCAGTGTCCTCCCTGCCTTGGAGTAAGCCCCTCCTCGCCCGCTGGCCGCCGCCCAGGACGCCGCGGGGCTCTGGCGGCCGCGAAGATGCTGCTCCGCACCTCGGGGGCAGAGGCGGGGACCATAAGGGGCCGGGTCGCCGGGCGGGCCGGGGGCGCGTTTGAGGTCGCCCTGGAGACGGGCGCGGGGTCCCGGGAGGCTGTGCCGCGCGTCCGCAGAGGAGGAGCCCGAGGTCCGGGAGGCCCGCGGAGCCGCCGCCCCAGCCTGCGGGTAAGGGCCGGGGAGGACAGGGAAGGGAGGTCGGTCCTCCGCTGGGAAGGGGCTGCCCAGCCCAGGTCTTCCCGCCGCCCGACCAGTAAGAACAGCGACCTGGAGTTTGGGAACAGAAAGGCCTGGGCCTCTGGGCCTTGGCCCCGATGCGTGGCTGGGCTGGGAGGGCTCAGCAGAGCCGGCCGGCGCGGGCACCCCGCAGTCCTGGGGATCTCCACGTGCCAAGTCGGGCCTTTCCTGGGGGAAGGCGGCCCGCAGGTCACCTCCGGAAACGGATGAAGCCAAGTCTAGGTGATTCTGGAGTGGAACCGAGCGACTGCCGTCATCCGGCTCAGCGAGTCTGTCCGCGCTCCAACCGGCTCACCCCACGCACTGTCGCGGACACGGGCTCAGGGCGCACGCAGTGCCGCTCACACCCCCGCGCACAGCACGCAGGGCCGCTCACACTCCCGTGCACCGCACCCAGGGCCGCTCACACTCTCGCACACCGCACCCACGGCCTCTCACACTCCCGCGAACCGCACCCAGGGCCGCTCTCACCCCCGCGCACCGCACACAGAGCCTCTCACACTCTTGAGCACCGCACCCAGGGCCGCTCACACCCCCGCGCACCGCACGCAGGGCACGGCCGCACACTCGCCCCGCACACAAGGACCCGGCTTCACGGGCGTCCTCGCCTTCCCCGCCGCTCACCTGCCAGCTCCCCAAGGCGGGGACTGTACCGATCTGTGTCGGTTTTAGTCCGGCAAAGTGTGTTCTTATAGGGGTGCACAGGTGTCCAGGTTATGAAATAATTTTAATAAAGACCTGATCGTGCAGGTAGCCCTGAGATCACGATAGTCTCAGTTCTGGGAAACCCAGTGCTGCCACCAGCTTCTAAACCCGGGCTGTGAGAAGGGGCGGGGAGTTTCCAATAAATAACTTTTATACAAGTCACGCCCTATATGATCTGTTGAAAAAAGTAAATAACTGTTACTTTGCGGGGTGGAACCCTTTAGAGAAGATGATTCCTTTTAATTTTCAAGATACTAGTGACACCAATAAATATTTAATTAGCAAACTTTTATCAAGATTAAATGGGGGGTGCAATAAAAACACTAGTTTCCAGTGTGCGACAGCCACACAGGGGCTTCCCTCCGTGACCTCCCTTTTCACCACTTTAGCAATTTTGCTATAGCTTAATCTCTGCTTAAGTGAGTTAGGGATATTATCGCATGAATAAAAGTATTCAGAGTTCTCCTGTTTCCACTAATGCTGGCCAGTACAATATAACACAACACTGCTCTTCAGGAAATCCCACTTAACCTACCCAAAAATGGTAGAAAAAGTATCTGTGTACTTTATTTGGGATGAGTCTCTGTTACACTAACTAAAATATTTTCAGATCTTTCTTCTGCTATTTCACAAAAGTCTTCTTCTATAGGTTGTGATGATGTCAGGCATGGCTAAAGACACAACAGCTCCTTTGTGGAAGAAAGGGGGGAGTCTGTCCTCGCTGAGCGGTCACGAGCTCCGGAGGAGGGGAGCCCAGGGGCGCCCCAAGGGGTAAGTAACCTGACTCGAGTCATTTCCGTTTCAGTTCCGTTACCGAATACACAGGCCCATGATGTCCAGCAGGCGGGACAAAGAACGTCTCCTGGCTGCTCAGAAAGGGAAAATGGGCAAGTACAAAGTTCGGAGCCACATCTTTAAGAAGAGAGAAAGTGAAAGTGATGTGTGGATCCTGGCAACATTGTGTCACTTCAAAGATACAGCAGAAAATTCCTCTGCTGGAGGTTCAGTGCAGTGATTGTGGCGCCAGCCACATAGCCGAGGGTGGTGGGTTGGAACCTGCCCGGGGCCAGCTAAGCAACTGCAACAGAAAAATAGCCAGAGGATATGGCCGGCGCCTGTGGTCCCAGCTACTTGAGAGGCTGAGACAAGAGAATCGCTTAAGCCTGAGAGTTGGAGGTTGCCGTGAGCTGTGACACCATGGTACTCTACCCAGGGTGACATAGTGAAACTCTGTCTCAAAACAAATAAAAAAAAAAATCCTCTACTGGAAATAAATGTTACGGAAAGCAGCTCCCCTTGCCGTCTCCTGAATTCTCCTTAGTATTGTATGTGTGTCTTTCACCCTTTTGTCTCAACATACACATTCATGGGCGGGGCCTGTGGCTCTGTGGGTAGGGCGCCAGCCCCATATACCAGAGGTGGCAGGTTCAAACCTGGCCCTGGCCAAAAACTGCAAAAAAAAAAAAAAAAAAAAACAGATACACATTCACAATGCACTCAACATTATTTTACACAAACTTTGTGATTTAATAGTCTTTGTACATATCCTTTCACAGCTACGTAATATTTTATCAATTTATAATTCTGAGTTATTTAACCACCCTCCAACCACGGGCATTTGAAGTTTGTTTCCACCTTTTTTTCTTTCTTTTCACTATATAATACGTCATTGCTCACTTGTTTTCCAGAAATATAATTAGTGGTTCAAAGGTTAAATACAGTTTTTGACTCTTGCTACTTATTAGAATTGCTCTCCTAAAAAGATGTATCAGTTTTTAATGTTTTCATGACATTTCTTTTTGACCGCTATCAGGAGGAAATCAAAAGAAATTATCTGATGTAGCAGTCAATTAATTGATGTAATAAACTTTCCTTTGTAACAGTTCCCACTGGATTAAAGGTTGTGATTTTTGGGGTGTACTGGGAAGCAGGAGCTGGTGTGTCCTACAGGACAGAGAGTAGAAGGCCTGGAATAATCAGAATTCTGAAACCAAATCCTTGTGTTCTCAGAGCACATTAATGCACTTACTTACAATCCCACTTTCTAGGCCTGGAAGTTTGCAGGTTACAAGCACAACATCCCTCTGTACAGACGACAAACTCCATGTAAAGGAATGCCAGTCACAGCATATGTCAGAAGATGGGAGAATGATCAACCTCTGTTGCTTTGGCTTCTTACCCACTCTGCCTGCTGTTTCCAATATTTAAGTGTTAAAATTCTTTTTATAATTATTTTAAAATAATTATTAGCTTGAATTCAACTTATGTTTTCCAAGAAACCATAATAATAATAATCTGATATAATTTGTGTCTTCCTGGTCTTAAAAAACTCTCATCCAAAGACTAAACTCAGCAGGGGTCCTCAAAGTTTTTAAACAGGGGGCCAGTTCACTGTCCCTCAGACCGTTGGCGGGCCGGACTGCGGGCCTGGGACAAGTCAGCTGCTAAGCAGGACAGGCTGCAGCAAAAACACCCAGCGGGCCAGATAAATGTCCTAGGCAGGCTGCACGTGGCCTACGGGCTGTAGTTCAAGGACCCCTGGACTAAAGTTCAGCCCCCTTTGCATAATTTTCTTTTATTTCTCCCCTTTCAGACTAAATTAGAGTCATATGGAATCTGACAGTGAAGTCTGAAGAAGAATCTGGGCTTGTGCTTTTTAAACCTATTATTGATAAGGTATAAATATACGTTAAAAGTAACGATATCACAAAAATCATTTTTACTAACACATTGCTATACATTTTTCACTAATAACCATTATATTTTGTATAAGTGATAACCATTATATTTTGGTTTTGTACTCTTAAACAAAACATTCAGGATAGATTCTCTATTGGGATTTTTTTCTTGAGTAGCAAATGAGCGCCTTCCAAGTCCCCTGGCAAGGCAGAGATGTTTGGGAGGCTGCCTCCCACCCCAAAGTGGGACTTGCTGTCTTTCCATGGTCTCCCTCCCGCCTGGGAAGAGGCGGTCTGAGTGGTTCTCCTTCATGCGTGCGTCTTCAACTAGGAGAAAAATTCTGAGAGCTCAGTGGCTGTCAAATGCAGGCATCATTTTAAAATTGCACTGTTTTGTGGAAAAACATATACCTTTCATTTGAAAATTATTTTAAAACAATTTTTAAAATATACATTTCAATAGCATAAAACACATTCTGCAGTATGCTGTGGGTGAGATGCATCATCTCACTTGATCTCTCCAGCGTGAGTCCTAGTAGATGGATCTCTAGGACATTATTTCTATTGTTTTATTATGAAATAACAGGCTTACAGGTCAGGCAACTTGGTTTAATGACTAGGACGCAGGCCCCAGTCGTGAGCATGGTGTCCAGGCCCGAAGACCCTGCTGGCTTCTCCCTCCTCCTGCACCCTGCCCTCCAGCCTCCCTCAGTAACTCCCGGCGCTCTCTGTGGCCTGCAGGCAAGGCCCCAAGCTGCTCCTTCCCATGAGGATCCCCATTCCTGGCCTGGAATGTTCTTATATCTTCCCTGGGTCTCCTTCTCCTCCTCCAGAATTTAGCCCGCATCCAACTCTCCGGACACTGTTCTCTAATTACCCAACCATAACCACTTCTCTACCCAACTGTAACCACCTGAACCTCCAGACTGAGTGGAACCATCTTCATTTCCTCCTCCCCTGTTTTCCTCCTTGGGGGCCTGTACTGGGTGGTGTTCTTGTCTGTATTCCTCAAAACAGTGTGCGCTTCTTTGCCCTTATACTGGTCAAGGGGAAGGCAGGGAGGAGCAGGAGGTGGACCTACTGGGAAAGCTGCCTTTGAGGTGTGTGAGATCCTCAGGGTCCAGCCCCTCGGGCTCTGTCTGCAGCCATCCTCAGCTGTAACTAACTTAGCAGGGATCACCAGACCTCAAAAACACCTGAGGGCCCTCTGAATTGGGAAAGGAAGATTGAATTTATATTAAATACCATTATTGTGAACTGTTTGCGGGATTGGGTCGCTTTTTTTAGGTTATGTTTTTAATTTAATGTAATTTTTTTTTGAGGCAGTTTCACTTTGTTGCCCTTGGTAGAGTGCTGTGGCGTCACACAGCTCACAGCAACCTCCAACTCCTGAGTTTAAGCCGTTCTCTTGCCTCAGCCTCCAGAGGAGCTAGGACTACAGGCACCCGCCACAATGCCTGGCTATTTTTTGGTTGTAGTTCGGCTGGAGCTGGGTTTGAACCTACAACCCTTGGTATATGCAGCCGGCCCCCACTCACTGAGCCACAGGCGGCGCCCAATTTAATGTAATTTTTATGTTTTGTTTTCTCTTTTTTTAGGTTATGCTTTCAGTTTAATGTAACTTTTATGTTTCATTTTTTTAAAAAAGGGAATGTTGTTAAGCCGGACCTTACCCTGACGTTGTGACTGTTGGCATGGTGGCTGGTGTCTCTTAGGCGTCTGCGTACACATTTCAGACCTGTGCTGACTCCAGACGGCAGGCTAAGGAGTTGCCATCAGACTTTCTCTGTAATTTTGAATTTTGCTTTTTGTTTAAATATTTAAATAATAAGGCTGGCAACTGCTAACATTTATTGAGACCTCATTATGGACCTCATTTATGCTTCGTAGAATTTCTACAACAGGGGCTGGCAAACTGTGGCCCATGACTGAGGTCGTCCTCTAGCTAAGTATGTTTTTTTACAAAGTCAAAGAAAAGAATTAAAAGGAGAACAGTATTTTGTGGCATATAAAAGTTATAAGGAAGTCATATTTCAATATCCATAAAGGAAGTTTGTTAGAACACAACCAGGCCTTTTCACTTATTATGTCCTCTGGCTGTTTCCACACGGCGGGGCAGAGGTGAGTCGTTGCAATGGAAACCATGGCCACTGGGCTGGGTATGGTGGCTCCCTGCTGTAATCCCTGTTACTCTAGGAAGCTGAGGCACGAGGAATGTCTCTACTAAAACTAGAAAAATTATCCAGGCATAGTACTGCACTCCTGTAGTCCCTGCTACTTGGGAGGCTGAGGCAGGAGGATCACTTGAGCTCAGGAGTTTAAGGTTGGCGTGAGCTAGACTGACACCACAGCATTCTACCCAGGAGACAAAGTGAGGCTCTGTCTCAAAAAAGAAAAAGAAAGAAACCATGATGGTTGCAAAGATAATGAAGGAACAGAAACTTAGAAAGTTTGAGACTCCAAAGAGACAGAATTAGCAAGTCACTAATCAGGCTTTTATTTATTAGTCAAGTAGTTTCAGTCCCTGAAAATTGGCAACTGTGTGTAATTTGCATTAGTGAAACTATTATTGGTTCATCAGAACCTTCTGTCTGCCCCCACCCTGTAGGAGCAGGTGTTTGCAATGGCATCTCTCTTGGCGGGAGCCCCATCTGGCAGACGGGGATAGCGTATGAACAGGTGTGCTTCTCTCCTGCTCTCAAGGTGGAAACAGAAGCCGGGAGGTGAAGTTACTTCCCAGGATAATGTGACATGATATGGAGGCTTATGTCTGAGGCCAGCAGTTCAACTAGTAGGTCAGAGCTAAGGTCAGGGGCTGGAGAGTCTCACTTTCACTTCAACCAAAGCTACGTGATGTGTTTCCAGAGCTTTCGGTGTGGCCCACCACCCTCCACTTGAACCCACCGATGGCGTCTAACACACTCTATGTGCCTCTCACTCATTCACATATCTGAGACTGGCCAATTACTGCATTACATGTTAGAAACTTAAAGGAAACAGGGTTCCGGCCTAGGGAAGTTTGCTTTCCGAGGAAACTGAGAGCCCACCTGGCAACTTCTCTTTCAGAATAGGCTATCTTTCCTATACAAATGA